CTCCTTGCTGTGACATGACCACAGGTGGGCTTATTCTTAGACTGAGCTTGAGGTCACCTGACAACCTAATTATACTGAAGATTCTTATTTGGTTTTCTTCCACCTTATTACATCCTATCCTTCTCTATTATCCCTCTGCCCCAGATAAGAGTAACCAACCAATCTTATTATACTTTGATTTAAAAACTTTAGGTGCTTTGATATGAAAAGGGCCTTTAATAACACCATTTAAACCATGTCAGCTAATCCACAACAAAAAGATATTTAAAAATCGCTCTTCTGAGCTCAGGGTATAGCTCAGTGGTATAATTCTTGCCTAGCATGCTCGAGGCCCTGGGTTCCATCCCCAGCACTGGGTAAGGACGGTAGAGTGTGGGGGGAGGGTCTTCTGAAGAGCCATGTAAGAACTGAATGCCAAATTTCTACAAGTAATCTACCAGATCCCATGAAAAGGAAGGGTTTTCATATAATATGCTCAGATGTAAATTATTTTAAGTGTTTTATACTTTTCCTAAGCCCAATAAAACTGGTTTATAAGTCTGTATTATTTCATGTTACTAAATTTTTAATTAGTGGTGTACTATTATTTTCACAGGAAATCAATACTTATAATAATACCTTCCATTTAACTTTAATAGGATACGTCTTATTATCCTCATTTTGTAAAATATTTCCCAACCTAACAGACTGAAGATCAGTGAACTCTGATTTCAAATGGGAAAGCATAAAGGAATTGACTCACCAACTACAAATTTGCCTAGGAAGGAGAAAAGTTCAGATACATATCCTAATGTTAACTCATTCATGCACAAGATCAGTGTCCTGGTGTGGGTGGGTCAGTAGTCAAGATCTTTATATCAGGTTAAGAGGTTTTTGTTTTATTCATTTCATGATAACATTTGATTCTTTTTATAATTCCTGTTCACTTTGGTACGTATATTTGATCATCTAAACTATCCATAAGGAAAACTAGTTTTTCCCTTTTGTCATTCTTGAGTCAATACTTAAATAAAATAAAAACAAATTTTTTTAAAAAAGAAAAAAATAGGTCTTTAGTCATTGCAATAGTTTCCATTCGTCCTAAAGGTTTTCAAATGGTTACTTGGAATTGCTTGTAGACAAGTTTGTGTTTGTTGTTGTTGTTGTTTTACAAAGTTCCCAGACTAACACTGGTCCATCTTGAATATCATGTACATCTTTCCTGAAGTTCTTCCTTCACAGAAGAGTCTTAAGCTGCTGTATAAGAATCACTGCACCAGATCATGCTTATTTCTGTTACAAAGATCTTCAGAAAAACAAACAAACAAACAAACAAAAAAAAACCACCTGGGCTTCCCTTGTTCCCTTTGCTGGTTTCTAACTCCCTTCAACCAGTTCATCTATGGATATACCAAAACTGATAGCTGTTCTCAGCAAAGGAGTTTTCTGGCTCCTTGTGTTGCCTATGAAGATCAACTTTGTTTCTTTCTGCAATTTTTCCAATTATAAATGTTGATGGTACTAGGTAATCTTGATCAAATATGAGTGATAACTTCTTTGGAAAGAATTTTTGTGGTTCTTACCTGGAGCCAGAGGGGTACCCCATCACAGGGATGGAAATTTGAATGCATGTGTAGATATTTGTGCAGTTCTTGAGTAGTTTTGTTTGCAAAAGTGCTATGTTATTCTTCTCTATAAGTATAAATTTCCCCCTCTGTCTCCACTATAAGTGAAGCCTCTCTTTTATGAGGCTAGATACTAGCAAAGCTCTGAATCTTGCTTACCGGAATCTTTTCTACTCAAAGTAAGTGACTTAACACCACAGTCTCTATTTTAGCAGAGATAGCTAATCTGGACTAAACTGAAGGGCAGTGGTTTTAGAAATAGCAGCTCTAGTTTTGGTGGGCTAGAGAAAGGAGAAACCAGAGGGCTGGCTGTGCACTGCTGGGAGAAGAAAACTGGGAGGAGGGAAAAGAGATGCCTTAGGTGGGTGGAACCAGTTGCTATGGTTTCTGAGGTTCATTTTAATACCAGAGGCTGCCAATTGCATTCATTATTGACATGCAGATTTAGGTGTAGGCTACCTGGGAAGAAAAGACCTTATACCCTTAGGAAGCGATCCATACCGAAAGGTTCCAGAAAAAGTGATCTAGAGTAGATTGATGGTAAGAAGAGATTTTAAAAATGACATACAAGTGGACATTACAGTGTTCTGGGGACTGAGTGTTCAGAAAAAGTTCTGCTTGTCACTGTCACAAACACAACATGCTGACCTGGGAAATGGCATCACAAAACAATAGTCCTGCAAACTGTTGAGACAGTGAACTTAGAGTCAGAATTTCTGGGTTCAAGTTGTAGCCTGGAGGTCAGTGCCTTGGCAAAACTTAAGAGCACTCATATTTCTTTACCTCTAATTTCTCATCTGTTAAATATTCACAGAGCTCTGGAAGCTATGATGAGGTGCAAATGAAATTAAACTATATAAAATCACAATTTTAATTTTTCTATGTACCTACAATACCAACCCCTATCCTCCCGCCATTCCAAAAACAAACAAAAAATGATGTGTGAGAAATCAGTATCTATCTTGTTAAAAATAGCTGTTGCATTTTTAACAATCCTGGAGGATCATTTGGAGTCACTCTGTACCCACATCATTGTATGACTGTTCTGAGCACAGACTTATATGGGAATATTTGAACTGAAGTCCAATTTTATCTATTCAGTGAGGAAGAGATAAATGTATTTGGCAGTTTTCATGGGATGGACGCCCTTATGTGTGCACCACACATACTGTTGATGTAAAATGACAGAATGCTAGGAGGGAATTTCATGAAGAATAGAACATAACTACCAGAGCTTCTTTAAAAAATAATTCAAGGTGAGTGTGGTAACGCACGCCTTTAATCCTAGCAGTTCAGACGGCTGAGGCAGGAGGATCACAAGTTCAAAGCCAGCCTCAGCAATGGTGAGGCACTAAAGCAATTCAGTCAGACCCTGACTCTAAATAAAATACAAAATAGGGCTGGGGATGTGGCTCAGTAGTCGAGAGCCCCTGAGTTCAATCCCTGATACCCCCACCCCCCAAATTCAAACAAACAACAGATATCTACTTAATCAAACTAGCTGTGACCACTCAAGGCATGATTGTGATCTAGATGGAATTTTGTATTCGAAGGCTGAGGAAAGACTTTCCATTGCAAAAGTAGTACAGGTTCCTTAGTTCCTTATATCCCTCATCCTGCTTCCCTAGAGAAACGTCTTCCTGTAATCATTATACCGTTGTTGAAATCAGAAAATTAAGATTTATATGGAAATATTAACCTATCTAGAGACTTTCTTCAAATTTTGTCAGTTTCCCAGTAATGTCCTTTTCTAATCTCGAATTGCATGATTATGTCTTTGTAGTCTCGTCTTATCTCTAACCATTCTTTATTCTTTTTAATCTTACCTGACATTTGCACTTTGAAGAGTATTACCACTGTTTTGTAGAATGCCCCTCAGTTTTGGTTTGCCTGATGTTTTCCCATGTTTGGGGGAGGTAAGTTTTTGACAAGAATGCCACAAAAGTGAGACCGTGCCCCTCCCAATGTATCCTTTCGGGATGTCAATGTTACCGTCCACCAGTGGTGTTAACTTTGATGTCTCTTTTAAGGTGGTGTCTGTTAGATTTGCCTAATGTAACATTATGAGTTTCCCCTTTGTAATTAATAACTGTCTTATCATTTGTTTGTTTGTTTGTTCTGGTGCTAGGGATAGAACCCAGGGCTATGCACATGCCATGCACATGCTGTGCCACTGAGCTGCACCCGAGCTCTCTCTTGTTTTTCAAGAAGATTTTATGCTTTCTTAAGCTGATGGTCAGGGTTGGAGCAAGTGTCATTCACAGAGGGTTGCAAAGCGCCCTGTCCTGGTAGGTCTAAGAAATGATGCCTTCTAAAATGATGGAGTCATTATGTAAGTGTTTAAATAGATTTCTCTCAATCCACGCTGAAATGGATTGCCTGACATTACATTGCAGGATTTTTAAGTCCTACCTTCAGGCAAATCTCATAGTTACTAGCAAAAATGAAAGTGTGAAATGCTTTTTAATGTATATTTAACAACACATAGTCTGATGATTGCTGATGTGTAGTCTCTGTGGACTTCCTTTGCTATCAGAGGAGGATGCTAAGAGACAACTTTTTACACATTTATTCTATCTAAATCCATCACATGTTTACTTTTCAAATATCTATGACTGTCATTTATAACAAGATCATAAGAAGTCAAATACTTTAAGTCTAACTCAAACTTTGAATCATAGGATTACAACCAATTTTCAGGAAAAGTACAATTACCTTTCACAAATAATATTTCCCTGATTCTACCTCATGAAATCACCTACTCTTAAATGATGCTAAAATACAGCCATTTTAAAAAGAAAAGATACAGCTTAGGGAGGGGAGTATGAGGGGTAATGCTACTTTATTCATCTTTTTGATTCAGAAATTCACATAACTCCCATTTAAAGGAATTTCCATCATTGAATCCAGTTTCATGTCTGCTTGTGTCGAAGAAGTAAATTTCGCAAACTGTACTTAATTCCTTCCTATGGTGTCACTATTTAATAAGGATTAAGGTACCTTTTTTTTTTTTTGCATTTATACTGGGTTGCACAGCAAGAGTTCACGTCTTATACTAATATATGCTAAATAGTTGCATAGTACATAGATCATTGTTGTTAAAATAGCAGTACTGAAGGCATTTTAGATCACAGAGCCCCAGTGGTCTACATTTTGTTTGCTTTGACATTATTAAACTCAATCTGTTTCTCTAACTGTGACTCTAATTACTACATTTGCATGGCAGAAAAGTTTGCTTTGTGGGTTGATTTTTATTAACAGTGCTTGCATGTTGTTTTCTGCTCTCGCTCTCAGTGTTTCACGAGCAGAGAGAGCACCTTCAGTTGCAGTGGATAATTATGCACAATCAATAAGTTTCTGTGTTTGTCTTTGTTGTTTCTTTGATGTGGCCTGTAGGATGCTGCCGGCAAGGTGCTGGACCGCTGGGCCATCATGTCTCGAGAAGAGGAAATCATCACCCTTCAGCAGTTTCTGCGGTTTGGAGAAACCAAATCCATTGTGGAGCTGATGGCAATTCAGGAGAAAGAAGGGCAGGCCGTGGCTGTACCATCTTCAAAGACAGACTCAGATATAAGGACTTTCATTGAGAGCAATAATCGTACCAGGAGTCCCAGCCTCCTTGCTCACTTAGAGAACAGCAATCCTTCCAGCATTCATCACTTCGAAAACATCCCCAACAGCCTTGCATTTCTGCTTCCATTCCAGTACATAAACCCTGTCTCAGCCCCTCTGCTAGGGTTGCCTCCAAACGGGCTACTTCTAGAGCAACCAGGACTGAGGCTGCGGGAACCAAGCCTTTCAACTCAGAATGAATATAATGAGAGCAGCGAGTCTGAAGTGTCTCCCACACCTTATAAGAATGATCAGACACCAAATAGAAATGCCCTGACCAGCATTACCAATGTGGAGCCCAAAACCGAGCCAGCCTGTGTCTCCCCCATTCAGAATTCTGCCCCAGTCAGTGATCTCACCAAAACTGAACACCCAAAAAGCTCATTCCGGATTCACCGGATGAGAAGGATGGGGTCGGCCTCCAGGAAGGGAAGAGTGTTCTGTAACGCATGTGGGAAGACTTTCTATGACAAAGGTACTCTCAAAATTCATTATAATGCTGTTCATCTGAAGATCAAACATCGATGCACCATCGAAGGCTGCAACATGGTCTTTAGCTCCCTCCGAAGCCGAAATCGGCACAGTGCAAACCCCAACCCTCGCCTTCACATGCCTATGTTAAGAAATAACCGAGACAAAGATTTAATTCGGGCCACATCAGGAGCTGCCACCCCCGTCATAGCGAGTACGAAATCAAATCTCACACTCACGAGTCCTGGCCGGCCCCCAATGGGTTTTACCACTCCCCCACTAGACCCCGTCTTACAGAATCCTCTCCCTAGCCAGCTGGTATTTTCTGGGCTAAAGACTGTACAGCCTGTTCCTCCATTTTATAGAAGTTTACTCACTCCAGGGGAAATGGTGAGTCCTCCAACCTCCCTCCCAACCAGTCCCATCATTCCAACCAGTGGTACCATAGAGCAGCACCCCCCACCACCTTCTGAGCCAGTAGTGCCAGCAGTGATGATGGCCACCATTGAGCCTAGTGCCGACCTGGCACCCAAGAAAAAGCCCAGGAAGTCAAGCATGCCTGTAAAGATTGAGAAGGAAATAATCGATACCGCTGATGAGTTTGATGACGAAGATGATGACCCCAACGATGGCGGAGCTGTGGTCAATGACATGAGCCATGACAATCATTGCCACTCCCAAGAGGAGATGAGCCCAGGCATGTCTGTGAAGGACTTTTCTAAGCATAACAGGACCAGGTGCATTTCAAGGACTGAAATAAGAAGGGCTGACAGCATGACTTCTGAGGACCAGGAGCCCGAGCGGGACTATGAGAACGAGTCTGAGTCTTCAGAGCCCAAACTGGGTGAGGAATCCATGGAAGGGGAAGAGCACATTCACAGTGAGGTGAGTGAAAAAGTCCTGATGAGCAGTGAGAGGCCTGATGAGAACCACAGTGAACCCTCTCACCAGGACGTCATCAAGGTGAAGGAAGAATTCACAGATCCCACTTATGACATGTTTTACATGAGCCAGTATGGACTGTACAACGGTGGGGGGGCTAGCATGGCTGCCCTACATGAAAGTTTTGCATCGTCCCTGAATTATGCCAGTCCTCAAAAGTTCTCCCCAGAAGGTGACCTGTGTTCTAGCCCAGACCCCAAAATCTGTTATGTGTGCAAGAAGAGTTTCAAAAGCTCCTACAGCGTGAAGCTTCACTACAGAAACGTTCACTTAAAAGAGATGCACGTCTGCACAGTGGCTGGCTGCAATGCTGCCTTCCCCTCGCGCCGAAGCAGAGACAGGTCAGTAAATCTCCATTGGCTGCTCCTGCTGAGGGTGGAGGGTGCCAGTGTCAGTCATGTTGGACTTGACATTAAAAGGTCCAACCTCGCTGTTTTGATGCACTGCAAAGATTGTCCACAGTGACCATGTGATAACTAAGCTGCCATGCTCATGAAGGATTGTTGCAGTTGTTGCTTGTTATGATTAAGCATGCAGAATCGTATGCCATTTTACCCAGTAATGCACGCCATTTTTCTCTGTGTGCTGTGTACATGTGTGTGTGCATATGTATTTCCATGCATCTAGGTGTGAATCAGTTAACTGTACACAGTTCCCTGCCTCCCCATTTACCTTTACTTAGAAGCCGCAGCTTCTGTCATAGATATATATATATATATATATATATATTTCTGCTTTGCCTTGTGGCTTTTTAATTAAATCAATAAATTATCTTCATACACACATATTTATCCAATATAGAAACAGAAATTTACGGATGGAAAGAACCATAGGTCCAGGACATCGAGACAGCCTGCATCTCCGTAGGTATAACCAGAAATGTTATCATTCCTTACATGAGTATTTAGTATGTCCTTAAATTCTTTAAGAGTCATGAAAATATCAGAAGAAAATGTGAAGACAAAGTCATTGTTGATGTGGGGGCAAGATGTGGCGGTGTGGGTTTGTTTATTTTAATTTCATGGTGTCTTTGAGCATATCTCTAAAATGTAGTCGGCCATGGGAATTAGGCAGAGAAGGGGAGGCTTGCATGGACTGTAGGATCGGTTGAACATATTATGTCCAGCCTTCAGATGACATCACACCCTAGCTATGTAGCAGCAGCTCTGAAACAGTTGGGCTTAAACAGAAGCAGCTTGTCCTAAACCTCCCATGTTCTTTGTTAAACTTAAAGAAAATATAATATAAACGGAATGTGCCAAGGTGGTCAGTGGTAGGATAACAAGGTCATCCTTCACTATGGAGATGAGCCTGTGAGCAGATCATTTATATACTGCACCAGTCCAGCTCAGGTAACACACCAGTTAGTTATTCCCATTATATTGAATCATGGTTTAGGATTCTATGTTGTCTCTTTAAAATATTTTTAGAGAAAATTTTAGTATATGGCAAAAATCAATGTATKTGGAAGAAACAAAATTAATGAAGAAGTTTCCAAGTAGCCACAACCCATTTTCTAGTGTTTATCAATTGGGTAGAATTCTTGACAAAGCAACCTGTAATGAAAGAACTATGGAAAAGTAGTGATATGTCTCTGAAATATTCTGTTTTATCTTACTTGAAAGATGAAACCTTTAAAAAAAGCCATATATGTACACATATATACATACATATGTGTACCTATATGTGTGTATATATCTAAAATTTCCTTTCTACTGAAATAAAAGGAGCCCAATCTATGAAAAATAAAATCTTTAAGTGGTTTTCTTATACAATGCAAAACATGCTTTTAAAAAGAAATCTATTGTCTAATAAAAGATTTCTCACCTCCATTTATATTGTTCTGTAAAAATGGGTTGTAGTCACAAAGTTATTTTAATTTCTAAGTTATCATTGATGGTTCCAGAATATGTCAGGTAAGATAGATATACTTTGAATAATAAAATATAATACTATATCCAACCTCCCCTGAGTTTGTGAGTAATATTCATTCTTTCAAATTTGAAATAGTGCATGAGTGATAATGAGGTTAATGCATTGAAATTTTTTAACAAAAATAAAAGACTCATGAAAACCTACATCAAATATTTATGGAAATGGAGTGTTTGAAGACAAGCCAAAATTCATGCTTATTTGCATGAATTCCTATCAGAGTTTTAGCTGGTTTGCTGAAAATATTACAGGTCATAACACCAGAATAAACAGCTGTAGGACCAAAAAGGCTACATACCTAAAGCTTGGTACTTTCATTTAAGTCCAGCCACTTAAAAGCACAAGTGGTAGGATGTTTATGTCCTTAATGCATAAGGAGATACTATTGCATGCTGTTGGTTTGTCAGAGAAAAAACATTAATTGATGGCCAAAGACTATTTCAATCTCCATTTTTATTTTAAGGATGTGGGAGCTTAGCCAGTGGCTAGACATATAGAAGCTTAAACCAGTGACAGATAACCAGGATGTTCCAGGTGGGAAGAATGGTACAGATGTGTTCTCGTGTGTTCCGTCTCACAGGAGAAGGCAGACTTTGGGAGACAGTTGATAGGTTGAATTTTGTCCCTAATATTTTTAAGTTTTAGAATTTGTCACACCTGATAACTGAAGAAGAGCAAATAGAAAAAATATTGCAGATTGAATTTTTTTTTTTTTTTTTTTGCTTTCTAAAAATATCCAAATCTTTTGATCTCAGGTTAAAAACTTGGGGGGAGGGGACTTTGATACTTCAAGAAGAAAAGTATTCATCCTTGTTGTATCTGTGACTTGGGTTAATATAGCACTGAGGCTAGCTACCATCAAATGACCAGAAACAGTGATGCCATTGGGTAGCGGCCTCCTTGGGCATCTCAGCAGAGTGGGCTGTGGAACAGAATTCTACTTATTTCCGCCTTCTTTTGTCACTCCATCATCTAATGGCAGCCCGTGATGTAATCTCCTGTGCACAAAGCCTCTTGGATCACATCTCTGATCTGTCCGTTAGGCTCACCTTCTCTTCTCTTCACTTTTACTCTGTGAGTCACTAGAATGACAGGAAGTCTAGGGCCCTATTTTTTTATACTTCCACTCACTGTGAAGCTAAGTTTTCTTACCTTTCTATTGAGCCAACAGACCTTGCCAAAGAAACTCTCCTTTGTCTTTAATTTTGCTTCCCTGTAGCCATTTCTTCCTTTCCCCAGAGTTTTGAGTTTCATTCATCCTTGGCTCCACAGTGTCTACCTTGTGTGCAGATGAAGCACTGAGGGAGCTTGAGCCAGCTGGAGTATGCAAGCTGCCAGGGTGCCCTTGGTATGGCCTGCACAATCGTCCTCTTCCTCCTGTTCACAGTGTGGCCTTCTTGTCTTCAGGATTAGAAACCTTACAGAAGTTACCCACAGGTCTTCCTGGGCTTCATCCAAGAAGGCAGACATGAGGAAGTTGGTGTGTTTGTTCTTCAGATAGGCATTTTAGTAAGACGGACGTAGTTGTGAAGTACAGTGTTTTAGGTTTGGCATTCAGGTGGAAAATATTCCCAGGTCTTTGCTTATGGTCCTTCTGGATTTTATAAGATCAAGTTAAAGACTTCTTGAAAAGCAAGAATGTTCTTTGTTTAATGTGACAGGGAGGAGAAAGAGGCACAAGGTTTGTTAGGGTCGAGGATTCTAAGCAGCAGTGCCAAAGGCATCCTTTTCTATGTAGTTGTAAATAAGTGTGTGTTTAATAAATTCACACTCATGACAAAGAGCAAGCAAAGGGACACAAAATCTAATTCATCCCAGTCACTGGGTGGCTATTGGAATAATTTTTATTCTAAGCAATGAAAGTGAAACGCGAATAATTTTCTCTGTAAAGTAACTCTGGTCCTCCAAGGTGAGTGCTGAAGTGTTCGGGTATATATTGATAACACTGTGAAGTATTAGCTTTTGAAATTGCTTCTTCCTTTATCCCTTGATTTTTCTGCTGCTGAGATGTGGTTCTGTCAGGGAGTAAGAGACTGGTACTTAGTTTTGAAGTATACATATGAAATAGTCCCTGGGAAGAAGAAATTCTAACTAACTGGCCTGGACCTTCAGTCTTCAGAAAGAGAATTTTCTTGAAGACAGCATCATAGTCAGAATTAGTAAGATTTAGTTAACTTTGGTCATTTTTCATCCTCTGACTTAAATGTTTGATCCCAAGGAAGGATGACTGGCCATGGATTACCTATATATAAGGAAAGCCCATGTATAAGTTAAATTTAAATTTTATTTAGGGAAAAAAAATAGGCTTCTATCTTCTTCCCTAACTTTGCTTCGTATTTGATAATATGTCATCAAGTACTTTTATCTGTTTTAGTGATTGGCAGTTTTAAAACACCAGCAACTAAAATGAGGACTTCTTTCTCAGAAACTAGATATGTGTATAGAAAGAAACATTTGTCTTTGTTGAGTTTCACCACCTTTATTGTTTACTTCTAAGAGCGGTGACCACTAATTGCTAAGGTTTGTCTTGAATTTTATCAGGAAGGTAAGCATAATCTGATCTTCAAGGTGTAGGGAAGGTGATCCAGCCACATGAATAAATTTAAAAACAAAATATTTGCTTAGGGTGATTTATAAATAAATATGAGGCAGCCATTGGTGCCAAGTGTGAACCTTCCTCGATTGCTAGTTAAATCAGTCCAGATTTAAACATGTAAACTTCTTGATTTGTATGGAGTAAGACATCTGTATTTGGTTTATTAAAACCTGCTGATGTCTCCAGAACTAAATTTGTTCCTCTATAGGCCTCTGGGTAGCTGTAGCTAAAAAGCAGAGATGTATAGTTTTTGCTAGTCTTATTACCTGATTTTAAGCCCTGTACAGGTGTACAGGAATAAATTAACATGAGCTACCTCTGATGAGCCACTGCATACATTAACAACAGAGGTGAAGATGCGAAAACATGCTACCTGCCTCCTGTTATCACCTTCTCGGGAAGAGCAACATTCATTTTTTCCATCATTTTCTATGTTTGGAAACTTATGGAGAACTTTTCTAGAGTGAGCTTTTCAGCAAGTACACACAGTTTCACCAGGCACTACCTCCAAGAAATGAGCCACTTAGCACCAATTCAAGACAACTATTAGTATATTTGCCCTAACATAATTAGCTGTCAAATACAATATGTTAATTTCTCCATGTACAAGAAAAAAAAACATTTTAAGGGAGCAACAATTTCATTTCCCAGTCAAACTACAACCCTGTAATTCCAAAATTCTTTGATGCAGTGAAGTTGAGCAGGTCCTCTGACTTTTAAATGTTAAGGAAGAGATTTTTTCCCCTGCTACTCTATTTGGTCTCACAATTGCGCMAGCAGATCAATAGGCCTTTTGTACTTATCTCCATTACT